TATCACATTTACTTCAACTCAAGCATAAACACTCACTCTTGGAAGGTACATTTGCCAATACAGTTGTTAATAATGTCCATGTACGCCAACTTTACTCCTCACTCCAGAGGAAATCTAGCCACCAGAAGAGAAGAGAATGTGATCTAATTTCAAAAGAATCCAGTAAGCAAAGCTCAAGCTGAAAAACACATTTGATTAAAAAATGTGAAAATTAAAAAAAAAAAAAATTTTCTAATTAAAATTTTTTTCAAACTTTCATATCTGTATTGCTTTTTTATAAAAAAAAAAAAAATTTTCTAATTAAAATTTTTTTCAAACTTTCATATCTGTATTGCTTTTTTATTTCGATTTAGAAGCAACGTTCCTCTCTTGCAAAAATAATGGAAACAAAATTCCCTTCATATTTGGTCATCTGCAGTGGGAACTAATCTGATTATCTCATTAGTAAAATTATTTACTGCATGTAGGACACTTGGTGCTGATGCAAGCTGCTCAGAACCCCTGCTTCAAAACACTCTGAATCATCCCTTTATTAAAATCCACTTTCAGGATTCATTTCCTTCCTGCTGCTAATAAGCATAAACTTGCACTTCGCAAAGTTTCCTTTGTGAGGATTTATTCCCCACCTCTTAGATCACAGTTGGAGATATCTTGGGCGTCTGATTTCAGCATGTTGTGAGCCCTGCTGTCATTTCCTCCACCCCAACACATCATCCAAACCCTCCATGAAATGCAGCGGCTACATGCAGCAGCAAGCTTTAACAAACCCCACTGCAGCCGTCCTCAGGCTTCCTTTCTTGCATCTGTCTATCTGCCTCTGTGTTTCATCTGTTTGTCTATTTTTGTCCGCTCCTCCATTTATCATTCCCACTACCCGCCTTGCTGTCTATTTGTCCGTTTCCCTGTGATGTGAACTCATCCCTGCGTTATTATCGTTGCTATCGATGACACACACACACAGACGCAGTAAGTAGCTGAGGGTTTGCAGAGGGAGCTCCGTAAGTGAATTAAGCTGATCTGGGCTGTGCTAAAGCTGACTCTGCTGACTTAGTGAGTACCAGTGGCAGATGGTTGGGTATTTGTCAGATGGGGCCATACTGTATTCAGAAAAGAAGTAATAATGTTAATGGTGTGCTCAAACTCCCAGGCTCCCCCCAAAACACAGCTTTATATGTTAATATTTAATTATTCTATGGTAGGATCTTTTTTTTTCCTTGCCATATTTTTTCATTTGGCAAATCCAATTAACCAGCATTTATTTCAACTTTTGTGTCAAAGTAAAATAAGAAAAGTGTCATAAAATGTAAACTTATTAAAAAAGGAGTCTTTAAATTATTATTTTTTAATTTATATTGCATACTACGGAAGAGGATTAGGGCCACTGAAAAAAAAACAAAGTTAACTGATTTTTTTTAAAATTTTATTTAAGTATAGTATGGGGAAAAAGTCAGAATTCTGAGATTAAAGTCAAAATTCTGAATTTCTTCCCATGTTAAACTGAAATAAAATTTAAAAATCAGTTAACTTTGTTTTTTTTTCAGTGGCCCTAATCCTCTTCCGTACATATCTTTTAATTCTTAAAACATTGTGGGTTTAATTTATCAAAAGGTCAGAACAAAAACCTCTTTTAGAGTTTGACTTCATGATCTAATGAGTGAAGCCATAAAAGGAATTGGGACACAATACATTGCTTTCAAATAAACCAGCGGTGCATTAGATATAATTTAATCTCATAACCTTTCTTGGTGCATAAAACGTTAAGAACACCTAAATTGTTTCTGGAACAAAGAAAAAGAAGGTGTGGAAATCTCACTAACTGTCCCTTCACCTCCAAGGGATATAAGTATTTATGTGGTACCTCCAAATTTGCAGCCTCACACTGCCACAATAAGGCGCTGTCCACCATTGCAAAGCTTTACATGGCAGGTTAACAGGGTGGCCGCGGGTCCTTAAAAAGTCTTTTTATTTTATTTTGCATGGGTCTTAAATATTTGTGTGTCATGTCACCGTGAAAATGCGGATAAAATCTGTTCTGCGAGGTCGAATATTTTTTTCCGGTAGCCTATGCGCTGCGTTGTCTATGGTTAGGTCAGAGCTTAGCCTACTGCGCAGCTCGTATCGCGCAGCTCTTGATGGCGTAGGCCAAAGCATCTACAGGTAGGCCGAATACAGCACCGATAGCCCCTCGACTACTTAAACATGGGGAAATGCAAGTTCA